GCCCTGTACCCTGTATTGTACATACCCTGTACCCCATCACACACCCTGTACCCCATCACACGCCCTGTACCCTTTATTGCACATACCCTGTACCCCATCCCATGCCCTGTACCGCACATACAGTAACTCCTCACTTAACATTGTAGTTCTGTTCCCGAAAAATACGACTTTAAGCGAAACGATGTTAAGCGCATCCAATTTCCCCGTAAGAATTAATGCAAATGGGGGGTTAGGTTCCAGGGAAATTTTTTTCACCAGACAAAAGATTATATTATATATATATACACCCACACACAGTATAAGTTTCAAACAAACCATTTAATACTGGTACACAGTGATGATGATTGTGAAGCTTGGTTGAGGTGGAGGAGTCAGAGGGTGGGATATTTCCCAGGGAATGCCTTACTGCTAAATGATGAACTAGCAATTGGCTGAGCCCTGAAGGGTTAACTCTCACACTCTACAAGGCAGCAGGAATGGAGGGAGGGGAGAGAGCATCGCAGACAGAGACACACACCCACACCGTATGTGTGAGAGAGAAAGATGCGCATTTCCCCTTTAAGTACACTGCCTTGTTAATTGATCAGCTTGCCCTGACATTACCCCCCCCTCTTCATCCCCTCCCCCCACACAGCAAGCAGGAGGCTCGGGGAGCAGGTCCAAGGCAGAGGGCAGGAGCAGCACATGCTGGGCAGCTGCTGCACAGGGAACTTAGGGGAGCGGGGAGCTGATAGGGGGGCTGCCGGTCCACCCTGGTTCCAAGCCCCCACCCGCTAGCTGCAACGGGCTGCTCTTCCTGCAAGCCGTGGACAAAGCAGGCGGCTGCCAAACGACCTTAGAAGGGAGCATTGCGCAACTTTAAACGAGCATGTTCCCTAATTGATCAGCAACGAAACAATGTTAACTGGGACGACTAAGTGAGGAGTTACTGTACCCTGTACCCCCTCCCATGCCCTGTACTCCATTGCATGCCCTGTACCCCATATCATAGAATCATAGAAGATCAGGGTTGGAAGAGACCTCAGGAGGTCATCTAGTTCAACCCCCCGCTCAAACCAGTTCCAACACCAACTAAATCATCCCAGCCTTAGAGGTTGAGTACATTAGCTTTTTCCACATCCTCTGTCACTAGGTTGCCTCCCTCATTCAGTAAGGGGCCCACACTTTCCTTGACTTTCTTCTTGTTGCTAACATACCTGAAGAAACCCTTCTTGTTACTCTTAACATCTCTTGCTAGCTGCAACTCCAAGTGTGATTTGGCCTTCCTGATTTTACTCTTGCACGCCTGAGCAATATTTTTATTCTCCTCCCTGGTCATTTGTCCAATCTTCCACTTCTTGTAAGCTTCTTTTTTGTGTTTAAGATCAGCAAGGATTTCACCACTAAGCCAAGCTGGTCGCCTGCCATATTTACTATTCTTTCTACACATCGGGATGGTTTGTTCCTGCAACCTCAATAAGGATTCTTTAAAATACAGCCAGCTCTCCTGGACTCCTTTCCCCCTCATGTTATTCTCCCAGGGGATCCTGCCCATCAGTTCCCTGAGGGAGTCAAAGTCTGCTTTTCTGAAGTCCAGGGTCCGTATTCTGCTGCTCTCCTTTCTTCTCCTTTCTTAGAGATTTTTAAGGTCAGGCTTGACAAAGCCCTGGCTGGTATGATTTAGTTGGGGATTGGTCCTGCTTAGAGCAGGGGGTTGGACTAGATGACCTCCTGAGGTCCCTTCCAACCCTGATATTCTATGATTCAGCCAGGGCTTTGTCAAGCTACGGATGGAGATTCCACCACCTCCCTAGGTAACCCATTCCAGTGCTTCACCATCCTCCTAATGAAACTAATATCCAACCTAGACCTCCTGCACTGCAACTTAAGACCATTGCTCCTTGTTCTGTCATCTGCCACCACTGAGAACAGTCTAGCTCCATCCTCTTTGGAACCCCCCTTCAGGTAGTTGAAGGCTGCTATCAAATCTCCCCTCATTCTTCTCTTCTGCAGACTAAATAACCCCAGTTCCCTCAGCCTCTCCTCATAAGTCATGTGCCTCAGCCCCCTAATCATTTTCATTGCCCTCTGCTGGACTCTCCAATTTGTCCACATCCCTTCTGTAGTGGGGGTCCAAAACTGGACGCAATACTCCAGATGTGGTGTACTCACCAGTGCCGAATAGAGGGGAATAATCACTTCCCTCGATCGGCTGGCCATGCTACAACTAATGCAGCCCAATATGCCATTAGCCTTCTTGGCAACAAGGGCACACTGTTGACTCATATCCAGCTTCTCGTCCACTGTAATCCCCAGGTCCTTTTCTGCAGAACTGCTGTTTAGCAGTTGGTCCCCAGCCTGTAGCAGTGCATGGGATTCTTCCGTCCTAAGTGCAGGACTCTGCACTTGTCCTTTTTGAACCTCATCAGATTTGTTTTGGCCCAATCCTCCAATTTGTCTAGGTCACTCTGGACCCTATCCCTACCCTCCAGGATATCTACCTCTCCCCCCAGCTTAGTGTCATCCGTGAACTTGCTGAGGGTGCAATCCATCCCATCATCCAGATCATTAATGAAGATGTTGAACAAAACCGACCCCAGAACCGATGACTGCGGGCACTCTGCTTGATACCGGCTGCCAACTAGACATCGAGCCATTGATCACTACCTGTTGAGCCCGACGATCTAGCCAGCTTTCTATCCACCTTGTAGTCCATTCAGCCAATCCATACTTCTTTAACTTGCTGGCAAGAACACTGTGGGAGACCGTATCAAAAGCTTTGCTAAAGTCAAGGTATATCATGACCACCACTTTCCCCATATCTCATCATAGAAGGCAATCAGGTTGGTCAGGCATGACTTGCCCTTGGTGAGTCCATGTTGACTGTTCCTGATCACCTTCCTCTCCTCCAAGTGCTTCAAAATGGATTCCTTGAGAACCTGCTCCATAATTTTTACAGTGATTGAGGTGAGGCTGACTGGTCTGTAGGTCCCCAGATTCTCCTTCTTCCCTTTTCTAAAGATGGACACTACTATATTTGCCTTTTTCCAATCGTCTAGGCCCTCCCCCGATCACCAGGAGTTTTCAAAGATAATCGCCAATGAGTCTGCAATCACATCAGCCAACTCCCTCAGCACCCTTGGATGCAGTGCATCCGGCCCCATGGACTTGTGCATGTCCAGCTTTTCTAAATACTCCTTAACCTGTTCTTTCACCATTGAGGGCTGCTCACCTCCTCCCCATACTGTGCTGCCCAGTGCAGCAGTCTGGGAGCTGACCTTGTCTGTGAAGACTGAGGCAAAAAAAGCATTGAGTAAGAACATAAGAACAGCCATACTGGGTCAGACCATCTAGCCCAGCATCCTGTCTTCCGACAGTGGCCAATGCCAGGTGCCCCAGAGGGAATGAACAGAACAGGTAATCCATCCCCTATCACCCATTCCCAGCTTCTGGCAACCAGAGGCTAACAGCCATTGATGGACCTATCCTCCATGAACCTTTTTTGAACCCTATTATAGTCTTGGCCTTCACAACATCCTCTGGCAAGGAGTTCCACAGGTTGACTGTGCGTTGTGTGAAAAAATACTTCCTTTTGTTTGTCTTAAAACCTGCTGCCTATTAATTTCATTTGCTGGCCCCTAGTTCTTGTGTTATGAGAGGGAGTAAATAACACTTCCTTATTTACTTTCTCTATACCACTCATGATTTTATAGACCTCTACCATATTCCCCCTTAGCCGCCTCTTTTCCAAACTGAAAAATCCCAGTCTTATTAATCCCTCCTTATACGTCAGCTGTTCCATACTGATACCAGTCTGCTATGTGTTCTTTGGGAACCAGGGTGCAGTATCTAGCCTGTCTGACACCCCACCACCACCAGCCTCTGCTTAAACCAAAACCCATCAGAGAAAAGACTTGCAGAGAGCAGTGAAGGGCGCTGGGAGACACACCTAGACCCCTCCTGACAAGGGTGACCAGAACAAAGACATCTCCATTAGCATACAGAATGGAGAACAGAGAACCGCACTGAACTCTGGGACCAGAAAAGCAGGGAAGCACTGCATCCTGGGGAATCTCTGCTCCATATGTTAATGAACCTACGCCTGCACACACCCAGCTCAGCAGTTATCAGACCAATTCTAGTCATGAATCCTTGATTGATATCCAAAATACTGAAGCTGCCTAATTGCATTGTGAGCTCCCTGGAAGGAATATGCTCCATAGCCAAGAGTGATCAGCTCCTGTTGACTCAAGGGTTTTCTTTAGGCTAGACATCAGTTTACCCATACACAAATCTAGTGTTCTCCCTTGAACCATTGTATTTGCTCTACAAAAACCCCGACCTATGCCCAAGTAAGTGTTCTGATGCTTGGATCCAAACTCTCCATCAGTTCCACAGGAACTCCATCTTCTCCTGACTGATCGTGCTGCAGGGCCTCCCAGAGTGGGGGGCAAGTGGGGCAATTTGCCCCAGACCCCGCAGGGGCCCCCATGAGAGTTTTCCGGGGCCCCCAGAGCGGGTCCTTCACTCATTCTGGGGGCCCCGGAAAACTCTCGTGGGGGCCTGGGCCCCCGGAGCAAGTGAAGGACCCGCTGCCGAAGACCCGGAGCTTCTTCCGCTCCAGGTCTTCAGCAGCGGGGGGTCCTTCCCCTCCGGGACCTGCCACCGAAGTGCCCCGAAGACCCGCGGCGGGGGGGTCCTTCCGCCCTGGGACCCGCCGCCGAAGTGCTGGGTCTTCGGCGGCAATTCGGCGGCGGGGGGTCCTTCAGCTCCAGGTCTTCGGCGGCAATTCGGCGGCAGGGGGCCGAAGTGCCCGAGTGGAAGGACCCCCGCCGCTGAAGACCCCAGGC